ACTCGATTGCGCGGGGTAGCTAGATAGTAGTAGTTAATCGTGATATATAGGACTTGAACACGTATATATAGAATCACAAGCTAGTAGGAATTAATGCATATAGATGTTGATAAACATCAGAGAGAGAGAGAGAGAGTCTGTTACTCTCTCTTTCGTCGTTTGAGGACTAAAGAAAGTTGATAGACGGAATGTGACATATAGACACGGGCACTGCTCTGGAGTATGGAGTATGGAGTCTGGGCTCTCCACTGTAACAAGCAAAGAAGGGAGTGGACTAGTGGAGGAAGGGTTGATAGATGGAAAGAGACGTATGTAAACCAAGGCAGCCAAGACAATAATATACATGCAGCAGAGGTGAAGTACAAATCTAATTGGGTGTTGCAAGATAAGGTCGGTGCGCGAGCATATTCCCACAGCTTTTTTTCTGAAAACGTTGCCTCTCGAAACGTGCGGTGCCTGGTGCTAGGTTTCCTTCTGTGGGTCCCAAAGCTGGGGGACCCACGACACATCCATGATCCATCTAGGAACCTTGTTTGGTTAAACTACTGAGAAGGGGAGAGGGAGAGGGAGAGAGAGAAGCAAAAAAACGAATCTCGTCGTCGGCCATCTTCAACTTGGATTTGTGGGTTTCTGGGTCCAGTCCATATTTTCAAGTTTTTAACACCCCAACTTGCCTCCGCCTGCCCCAACCTCCTTTCAGTTTTTCTGGGAGGGAAGATGCCACACTCAGCTAGCGTACAACCACAGGACCCATTATGGGCCCTCTGCAGTCCATATGGGCCATACGAACCATTGGACCCAACGTAATCTTGATTCTCGAATTGAAATATACCCAATAACTTGGCCCAGTTTGTCTACAGCGCTTAAGGCTGAACCGTTCATATTTCATAAAATGGTCTCTTTTTCTCCTATGTTTTGATTTTTTCTTCAATATAAAATATCTCTCATTTCCTATGTCATTCCAGCTAAAGTGCAACTAGTAGAAAGAGCAAGCACAATGCATTCAAAGAAGCTTTTGGAACAGAGTTATTAGATTCAAAGCACATATACAATCTGAAAATAACCGCTCTTTGTATGCATTCAAAGACAGAATCAATTTTGTTGCTGGCCCATCTAATTGAACCGCGAATCTCTGAATCACAATGCAAAGCTGGATTCTTGATCAAAATTTCTTCATTTGTCATTTCTGTTTGGACACCTCCAACTTGTACCAAAGTACCAAAGAAAGCAGTTCAAAGCTCAAAAGCGTGCTAGAATGAAGGATCCAGCCAAACCCATGGGCCAGTAATCCCAACTAGTCGGTTAAAATGATATACAGCCCAAATTTGTCTTGGACCCAAAAGCCATCAAAACAGCCCATCTCGTCAGCACTTTTGCTTCAGTCAGCCTTCCACTTCCACTAACAAAGATTTTCATTGATGGGATGGGATAATCTCCTCAGCAGTCAGCAACCTCTTCACTGTGTTCAAAAGTGAAGCCTCTTTCTCTGAAATTGGAAGAATTTAGAGTCAAAAAGGTGAATCTTTATTGAGATATCCCCAAATACATGACAACACTTACTACGTCTACATGAGTTTTATTATTCCAATCTCCCACTCTGCTTGATTTGATCTCCCCAGACCCCAATCCCATCTTGTTATCTATCAACCCAGATATTTCTATGGTTACTGTTTATCATTGAAATTGCGGCCGTAGTACTAACCTAACCAAGTAGTAGCAATGTTTTCAAACCATTGCAATGCAAATTTACTTGTACTGATTCAAAATCATGGCAGTGCAAATGATTTTGGTGCAAATTATGGTTTTACTTTTATCTTATTTTGAAGCTTGAAGTAAAATAAAATAAAATAAAACCCAAAACAAAATTAAACCAGAATTTGCATTCCCATACATTTGTACTAGTGCAAATAAAATTGCACTGCAATCAAAACACAGTCTTATTGATCAAGAAATTTAAACCAGTGGGTCCCTTTTTGTGGTTTGGGTCATTCAGTGGGTTAACCTGCCGGTTGAACTGCTAAACCAAACCACATCTTTATATTATAAATCTCAAAGTTTTGTGTTACAATTTACAAAAAGTAATGTTGAGAGTTGAGAGTTGAGAGTCTTGAGACCTTTTGAGTTCAGACTGAAGAAGAAGACTTAAAAAGCCTTGAATGGTTGAACCAAGTAATTAAAGAGATTCCCTTAGGCTTTCCTTATCCATTGCTCAAAGCATCCAAATTAATAAAGGTTTACTTTTTTCTGGAGGCCTCGGCCCTGGGTTGCCATCATCAACTAAATCTGGTCTGGATCAATGGTGACTCATACACAGATACAGTGATGCCCTAACCGTGGAGATTAGTCTAGGACAGTCTGGGATATGGATATTAGTGATAGGTATATGGATACGTGATAATGCCAACCCAACAACGATCAGCCAGTCCATATCAATCTGGTAGTGGTAGTGGGCTTTTTGATGTTTATCACTAGAGCCAAAATGCCACCCATTTCCCTTTGACATCGAATGACGAAGACATTGTTTGCTTAGTTAAGCCGGGTTTATTCAAAGCACCAGACAAGGTAAACAGATGGAGAAGAAGATTGCCTTGACAAACAATTTTTTTCCTTTGTTTTAGAAATTGCCACGTCAGCAAAATTACATGTTCTTCAAATGTATTTTTGTTTTAAAAAGTAAAAAGTAGATGGTTTGTTTAAAAAAAAATTGCCAATCTGAAGCCTTTCTTTATTTTCAAGCTAGATGATTTTTTTTTGGTTGCTATTAGACATGTCTAACCCCTTAAAACATGTCAAATTCCGGTTACTGTATTGGCATGCGGAACTCGGAAGGTCATGGATACGATATGAATCGACTAATACGCTACGATACATTGCAACATTTTAACCTTTGATAGTAATAACTGTCATTTCTCGTGATGAATCTTAAGACCAAACAAAACTCTACTGGTTCACAAGGGGAAAGACAAACAAATGAAAATTTAGCGCCTTTACCATTAATCGCTCGCAAATGGCTCCAGGCTCTAAGCAAGGTTCAAAATATTGATATGCTTGATATGTCGGTAAAGGTGTACCGGGCGAATCAATACCTTTTTTTTATTATTTTTTATTTTTTTCAAAACTGATTCAAGGGGGCCGATTTAAAATTCCTCTATCCCTTGAACCAGTCAAGACTCCTGATACACCCACTATAAGGACATATCGGAAAGGTCTCAGAATGATACGAATCGGCCCGTGGCCTATACGTGTCTTGCTAGTCCTATAATGCTTGACAAGTTGACAATGAGTCTGAAATCCGAATACATAGTGAGTGTTAATACTAAAAATCACCAGACTGCCGATCCAACTAGCTTGGAAAGCTACCCAAAATTCTAAAGGAGCTGATGAGCTGTTTTCTGTAAAGCCTACAGCTCTTGTACATAATCCTAGCAGCAGCTAGATATCTTTCCATAAACTATTGAATGGAATTATTTCGTCATCCTGTAAGAAAGTAGTACATATTATCACCTTTACACCGCAATATTAATCTAGATTTCATTCTCCCGTGGCATCTCTTTTCTGTCAGAGTATTATCCATTTCATTTCCTTGTTGAAAGCTGTCGGATTTGTTTAACCAATTAAAGCTGGGTTACTCCGACAGTCCGACTCCAACTCCAGTGTTCTTGTTTCGTTTTCACAATCAAGAAAATAAAAGCTAGAAGGCAGGTCCCATTCTTCACGCAAGGGTTGTATTATGCCAGTTCCGATAAGGTAAGCACGTTAAATGAGTATTTGGAAATCCTTAAAATACCCCCAGCCTATCCTTGAAAAAACATTAATACCAACTTTTGACAATTATCAAAATATTATCAAGTGCTTATTTTTGCATCTATAGAGCATGCCCTACAGCACATCCCAACTGTGTATTGAAAACATCTCCCAATGATGTGCATGCGGGGCATTAGTGGAGGCACGCTCTGTGGGGTGAAGATTTGAACTCAGCTAGCTCTGCTACCGCTGCTGCTTTTCCCATGTCATTCATCATTCCCATAGGCAACTAAACTCGCTACTCATTGAATTGAGGAGAAAAAAAACTTTTATTCATTGAAAACACAATTTATGGAGAACTCTGCAACATTACAGATAGGAATGGTGGAGAATAATGAAAGGCTGACCATTGAGAATCATGAAACATAAGTGTAGATAAAACTGGTGTAGCTTCCAATTTGATAAGAACGGGCTTATGATCTCTTTCTCGTAGTTCATTTCACTACTCAAAATTTAGCCTGCTTTCATCCTTTTCCCCATGAATAGAAGAAATACTGTTCAGACTAAAAAGCTTACGCAGCATCTGTAACATCAGATTCCTTGGCATCTGATCAATGTATTGCCTCGCATTTTCGGCCAAGGTAGCCTTAAATGACAATTGCCCAAAAAATTACATTCTTCTGAGGCATTAGTTTAAAATTTTTAATTGCTTCGCTTACTCTCCATTATCTAGAAAACCGCACAAAATCATTATATTCCAAGAAAACAGATTCCTCAATGGCATCTCAGTGAGAATATAGTTGCTGTCTATTGATATATTCAAAATTTCAAATAGAACCAGAGACTCACCAACCAGAGCACCAAGCATTTACCCAAAACTATTGGCTTCCAGGAAACATTGTTCTTCCTGGAACCAGCTTTTTTGCGACCCGACGAACTCCCATGCACCTAGATATCAAACTGGTCCCGGCATACACCATTAGCCTTGAAATATTCAATTGATCATCGCAAAATCATCCCATATGCTTTTTCCAGGCGTTTTATCTAAAAAAAGGCTTATAATATCTAGCAATTTCAAATAGACAGTGATCATCTTGGGATAGGAAGGCACATCCATCTGACATTTTTCACGCTCATCAACGTCCCTGCTCCTCCGAACCGGTGAGGTCAAAGTTCAGGGGAGGTCAATGCAGTTGCCGGAAATCGGAGGGGAGGTTTAACCGTTTAAGCTATAGCCATCTGCTATTTTTCTTATCTCATCATTTTGTGTGAATATGATGTTGAACAGCCACTGTTACCTTACAAAGTTTGGATGTAAAGCATAAAGAAACTGTTACTCTGTACATTTATAATTTTCATCAATTCATGTAAATCTCTTTTCGGTGTCTCTCATGACACCCTGCGACATTATCTTTTCCCGGAATTAAAAGAAGATGGTCAGTGATGCTGTTAGAAGATGAGAACTGGTACCGGTGGGACAATTATGAGTGGTTGTCTATCACGGCAGTGGCAGTGGCAGTGGCATCAAAGGAACCCACTATCCCCTCATTCAGAAGGCGCATAGCAGCATCCTCCGAGAACTTCCTTGCAAATAGGAAGCAGGATACAAACGTAGAATTGGTACGACACCACTCTGTCCGTAACTCAGTTTCATAATACACATGGTCAATGCCCTGCATTATATAAATGCAAAATGGAATTGTTAGAGGGAGAGAGACAGAGACAGAGAGAAGCTACAGATTAATCAGTCTTCAAATCAAGAGCAACGAACAATGACATGCATGGAGCCATGGACTGCAAGAAACATCAAGAAAGCAACATTATACAATATAGATCCTGAAGCATTCTACAGAAAGAGAAGCATAATTTCTTCTGAAAGTTGTGCCTAGTTGAAGCCACTTATTCCTTAACAGCAAGAGAAGGGGGAAAATAGGGGAGTAAAATCTTTAAATAAGTCATGTAGAGTGGCTCAAGATCACCTAAGTTTCATTTAATGAAATTGGGGCTACCTTTTCTTCCTCAATGAGCCTTTACTATGCTAATAAAATGAACTGGAGCGACGTTTTTTCAACCTTTCTGATGGCTTACAGGTTAGATACTTTGTAATGTCAGTGGCATTTCTTATTATGTCCACATTGTGATTGCCATGACTACCAACTACGCATTGAAGATCTCCAACTCTGATTAATAAATAAATAAATAAACACATCCATCTCTATAATGGGAGATGATGCATATGACCAGGATCGCATGTTATGTGAATGTGCCTGCTGAAGCATCACATGGCCTATACATCAAGGGATCAAATCAAAAGATGCAAGATAATTCACCTTAATTTCTTTGATTTGTTGAGGACTTGTATTTGCATAATTGAATGTGACAGGATGCCAAGCTTTCCCCTCCGTTTCTGTTGTAGATTGGTTCCACAAGGTGTAGGTCAAGGTTCTTCTTTCAACTTCATCTTCAAGGTCTGTCATCTGGCAGGACCATATATAGAACAGAATCAGAAATTTGGTTGAAAGAAGAAACTCCTCTAGAATATGAACCTAAGTATGCCTATTTCTGTCTGTATATATGCATATATTGCTTACTGCAAGTAATGTCTGCACATAGTGTTCATCTGGGATACAGTTATGCTGCTTCTGAAGTTTCTGCATTTGATATTGAGGAAGTAATCAGAACAAAGAGGAAGGAGTGTCATCAAGAATGAGAAATATAAAATGCTAGCAAACAAGAAATATCTTTTTCTTTTGATGAATAACATCTCTGAATTTTATTAATGGTAATAAGAAAGTGCTAAAGCTAATTTCATGCATCAGATGGCAAATCCCTCAGAATTTGTTAGACTTCTTTAACCAGCTCTTGAAGGACCCATGGTAAGCCTATTACAGTTCTCCCCCTTGGAGAGTATCAATCCCCAGAACATCTGAATATACTTCCACCACAAGCTATGACATTGAAGAATGCTGACATCACTAAAAGCAGAGAAGCAGGTCCTCTGCTTGTTAGAAGCGTTGAACACATCCAGGAAGGTGGATCTATCACTCTGGGGAAGTGGGAAGCCACTGGTGATTCAAAGTAAAAGATAGACCAAACAAATGGGTGTAATTGTTGTATCTGCATGCTTCCCTTCCAACCAATCAACATTTCCTTACTATTAACAGAATAACGTAGTTCCATAATTAGGATAATCCAACCAGTCAAACTTTTAAGAATTCTCTGCGAGTTATTGAATGGAGGGATCCAATTGCATTTGTGCCTACTGGTATCTTTTTCTACATCAACAAAGCCTCGATTCTTAAAATTAGGCTTTATAAAAAGCTTGGTTGATCAATATCCATTTTCCAATAAGACCAAGATCACACAATACAAATGTGATTCAAGTTACCTGTTCATGGGCCTGACTTTACACTGTGTCGGGCTTGGGCTTCAGGCCAGGGCCATTCAATTTTTTTTTTTGATAATTGAAAGAAATTTAGTAATCAGCAATGATAAATAGTACAATGTCCCCAAGGGGAGGCACAAGATGCAACCTCTCCAAGCTAATTAAGTACAACTTTCCAATATACTAGAACAAGTTAATGTAGCACAAAAAAGATCCTCCCTGGAAACCCTATTTGGCCAAAAAATCAGCCATAGTATTAGCTGACCTGCTTTTACCCATTTTACTTCAACTCTCATATTATTGGTTAACCACTTTACTTTTTTGGAGGTCTTTGTAGCCCCAAATGGTAGCATCCGGGTTTAGGAGGCACCTTGTTACCACCTGAGAGTCCCCTTCAACTAGGAGATGTTCCACCCCAAGCTGGCTAGTGATCTGAATTCCTTGTACAGCAGCTAGTATTTCTGACCTTGTAGAGTCCCCCACTCCCACCGGTCCTGAGAATAAGGAGATGATGTTGCTATCCTTATTCCTCAGGACACCCCCTATACCTGAAGGCCCAGGGTTATCTTGGTTGCTCCCATCAAAATTTAACTTGATGACACCTTCTGGAGGCGGATCCCATTCTAACAAACTTATATTCTTCTTTGTAGAAGTATTAGCTATTACTAACCAATTCCTCAACGGGTCATCAAAAGAGAAATCAGCAAATATATCCAAGATTTTCAGCCAATGTATTGCTCTTTTTAGAATACAGTCCTTCACTTCATCCAAGCTTCTTTCCTTCTCTAAGAAGACTCTTGCATTCCTTTCCTCCCAGAGAGTCCATAAGGTGACTGCCCTAATACATTTCCACGTGAACTTGCCTCTTCTGGTGTGCCATACAAAAATAGATGGGTTAAATAACAAACTCACATGAGATGGCGTGGACCACTTACCTCCAAATAAACTAAGGCTCCAACTCTATAAGGCTGTAGCAAAGGAGTAGGAGATCAGCAAATGGAAACAGTCCTCATTCTGGGCCTTACACAAGGAACACCAGTTCGGGGAAAGACAAAGAAAGGGTCTCTTTTTCTGCAAGCTTTCCAAAGTATTGATTTTCCCGTAGTAGAGGGCCATTCAAATTTTGACAAAAGCCAAGCCCAAGGCCCATGAACAGGTCTGTTATACTATACAATAGAAAGCATACAAGATCCATGATGCAAAATCCCGAATTTCAAAATTTCAATCGTTACAACAATTCTATGGTATGCAGTTGCTGTTAGAGTTTAATAGATCTACAAGTCCATTGTTTATGGTGCAAGACAAGACTGAGCTAACAATAAAGTCATAGGTTTAGAAGTCTTTATTCAGTTGTACAGATTTAACAGTTTTTTAGCCATAGTTGTTTGGGTAAGCCTCCATTAACCTACTCACATAGTGTCACATTCTTTACTCCACATTTTGATTAGGTGATTTTTTTTCTTTCTCAGCTGTTTTGCATATATTAGGCTTTGTAACTGTGAACTATTTTCATGACAGAGACCCTATAGTAGCCCATACATGTCTTACTCTTTTCGTTTCCCTAAACCCTTCTGCTACAAGTTTTGGAGAGTAGTTGGTCACACCTATACCCATAATTTTATTTTAAACCTAAATTCTCAACCTTAGGCAACAGAATGCAATTTTGGGCCCAAAAACCAAAAGCTCTAGTATCAGCAACACAAATTCATTCATTTCATTAATAAAAAAGAGAAACATTACAACCAGAGGTTGTGAAGAAACTGTCTATTGTCTAACCCAATACAAGACAAACCCACCTAACTGTATCACAGCCTTTATTACAACTGAGCCCAGTACATCTGCTGTCGATTTACTCCTTGTTTTGCTAAACTATTGGCAGATCTCCTAAGAGCATGGCAGCTTTGTCCTGTTCAACACCTTTTTGTTTAAAGCAAAAAGTAAAGAAGTTGATTGACTTTACTCAGGGACTCCCGTAAATGAAAAGTGTCATGGGAAACTTGAGTAATGAATAATGCTACTTGTTTGGGCAATTTCACCAATACATCTGTAAAAAAGGACAATACACTAGGGGCATTTTGATTAACAAAAGTGTCTAGTGTTTCTATCCTTTTCACAGGTGTATAGCACCAATGCAGCTAGACTCCACATTATAAATTTGTAATTTTTTTTAATTTCCATTTTCTACTAATAGGATATGTTAGGAAATTTAAATTCCAGAAAAGGGTATGGTATATTGGTCAAGGAAGAGGAGACAATTTCCATTTAATCCTCTACCTCTGCCCCTACATCCTCCCCTTTTCTACACACTCTTCTCAAAGAAACCTCCCAAGTACCCAATATGATAGGTAGTTGTCAAGGCAACACCTAGGCACCTGCCTAGGCAACAAGGTGCCCATGGAGTCACTCACTTCATTGCCAAGGTATTTTGTACATGGTGCTATTATATACTTTTCCTAGGACAATTTTCTATTTTTTGTTGAGATAAGGTAAAATATTTTATTATATTGATAACACAAAATATATACAAAGCCCTGCACAATAAGACACTGGGCAGGGCAAGTACTTTTCTTTTTACAACCCAAAATCCCATTTCAGTCAACTTGATACAAAAATATTACTGAAATAAAAAAAAAAAAGAGTTATAAGGTATATTCTTGAACATCCTGTGTGCTGCCGCCCAAGAGTATAGTCTTCCCCAACAACCTTTTAAGACTGTATCTACTGTGCTGAATTTATTTATAAAGAACTTCCTATTTCTCTCTGTCCAAATGGATCACATCACTGCTACTGAAACTACTCCCCGTACAATCTTTCCTTTCCTGGACAAATCACACAGCTCCATGGCAATGCCAACAGGTCTTTTTGAAAACAAAACTGCACTCCAAACAGCCTCAAAGATAGGGGCTCAGCCCCTCTATTTTCTAAAATTTCTTTTCCTTCTTCCATTTTCTTCATGAATATGTTGATTTTCTATGTTTTAGATGAAGTTCACACATTTTTTATGATGATTATAGACAATTACTGGTGAAAGATGATTGCTGCTTGCCGTGGAAGCTAATGAATTACCCTAGGTTTCGTGGATTTTATTCAAAAAAAAAAAAAAAAAATCCATCGCCTAGGTGGCTAGGTGACCCCCTGCCACCTTGCCTTACCTTGGTGCCTTGAAAACTACCCACCATTTCAGCTTCTCCTTTGAACATTTAAAGAATTCCACAATTTTGTCTATCCTCCCAAAAAACAATAATACAGGGTTCTCATTTAACCTCCAAGGCTCCAACTGTAACAGGTCTGGGAGGGAAAACCTTGACATAGTGAACTTTTTAATGATAGTATTCTGAAAAACACAATCATATCATAAAGTGTACGAAGGATGAACCATGAATCATATTGTAAATCAATTGTAAGATTGTTTTAAAGATCGTTTTATTTAGTATACTATTGTTTTACAGGATTCTTTTAAAAATTAACAATACATACCAAAGAAGAAACATACCCCGTTTTTAATTCACATCCACCATACTGTACTTAATAGAACAGATTTTACCACCTTTAAACAAGAAACATAAGATGATGCAATTAAGTTTGAATTAAGTCAATTAACTCACATATGATGGCTATGATTTCTAAATGGGTTTTAAATAACCTAATAATGAATCTCATTCTAGTAAGATCTTCAAAACAAATACCCTTTTAAAGAAATTAAAAGAAACAAAGGAATGACAGAGTAGAGAACTAGATCTCAATTTAATTGAATCATATGACTCTTATGAATCATAAGATTCAGATGATAACTGCACAATTTTTAATAATTGTATCACAAAATCATAAGATTTTTGTTTTTGATCAACGAAGAAATTCATTAAGCATTAAAATTAAATTTAAAATTGTTACAAGTTGAAGTATTCCAACTAAACCCAAATACAAAGATCTAAACTTTTGCAAAAAAAATTAAAAAAAAAAATAAGTCTATTGAGTGTCTTTTCAGTGGAGAATGCTTTCAAGTCCTTCTAAATCTTGGTTTGAGGAGATGTTATCAAGAATTAGGTACTAATTTCCTTAAAACCCTCTATCTCTCTACCTCTTCATCTAGGGGTGCAAATGGATCGGATCATCATCCGATCCTATTTGGTCAAATTCGGGTCACCCCTATTCGGATCTTCGGATCAGATCGAATAATAGGACCCGATCAGAAATCGGATAAGATTCAGATCACCTCCTATCCGATCCAATGTATATTATATATTTATAAATATAAATATATATAAT